ACATTTGACTTATCGGTGTAAAGTGTATAAACCTCTAACTGTTGCACCCAGTATTCAAAAATTATTTAATATTCAAAGTAACAATTTAGAGACTTGGAAATTTGAGCAAGATGTATGTAGGAGAGCTTTAGTTGAGATGATAATTTTGGATGAACTACCTTTTAGTTTTGTTGAAAAAGAAGGCTTTAAGAAGTTTATGAGTAAAGTCCAACCTTTGTTTCATATTCCTTCTCGTAGAACCATAACAAGGGATTGTTATGAAGTTTATGGTGAATTGAGAATAAATTTGAAACAATCTTTAAGAGAAATACAACCAAGAATTTGTCTCACAACAGACACATGGACTTCGGTGCAAAGAATCAATTATATGTGTTTGACTGCTCACTTTATTGATAGGGATTGGGTGCTTCATAAAAGAATATTGAATTTTTTTCCTATCACTAGTCATAAATCTGAGCATTTGGCTAAGTTTATTAGTAATTGTTTACTTAGTTGGAAGTTGGATAACGTTTTTACTGTTACGGTTGAATGCCTCTTCAAATGATGTGGCAGTTTTAGAGTTGTTCAAGAAATTAGATATGTGGGGAACTAATTTGATGGAAGGTAAGCATCTCCATGTGAGATGTATGACTCATATACTTAATCTAATTGTGCAAGATGATTGAAAGAAATTGGTCCTTCTATCAAAAGGGTGAGACAAATGGTGAAATATGTTAGATCATCTTCTTCAAGGACAAGAAACTTCTTGAAATGTGTTGAAATGCAAAAGATAGAATGTGATAAAATGTTGTATTTAGATGTGCCTACTAGGTGGAATTCCACCTATTTGATGTTAGACACAGCAGAAAAGTTTGAGAAGACTTTTGAGAGGTTTGATCTTTATGATGGTAATTTTAATTCTTCTCTCGCTGCTGATGTTTGTAAAGATGGAAATATCGCAGGTTCAATTCAATATGAAGATTGGGCTAATGTGAGGTATGTCACAAAGTTTCTTGAAAATTTTTATGAACTCACTTTGAAATTTTCAGGTTCACGATATGTTACTTTTAATGTTCATTTTGAAGATATATGTGAACTTGATGCTTATTTGAAATTATGTATGACAAGTGATGACCTTGATTTGAGTAAAATGGCTTCGAGAATGAAAGAAAAATTCAAGAAATATTGGGGTACTCCTGAAAAAATGAACAAAATGATTTTTATTGCTTCTGTTTTGGATCCTCGCAATAAATTTGTGTATGTTAGTTTTGCTCTTGAAGAATTACTTGGGGAAGAAATGGGAAATGTAGTGAATGCGAAAGTAGAGGCTTACTTGAGGGATTTATTTGCGATATATGTAAGTAAGTATGAAAAAGGTTCCAAAAGTCAACCATCTTCCTCTGACTCTTCTGATTCTTCTGCTTGTGGTATTTCTTAAAATGCGTCAAATTTTTTTTTGAGAACTAAGTTGCACATGAAGAAACAAAAGAATGATTTTGGAAGTTTAGGTGTTAAATCTGAGTTGGATAAATATCTTCTTGAAGATCAAAAGCCTGAATATGGAGATTTTGGTATTTTTAGTTGGTGGAAAGTTAATTCTCCTAGATTATTAGTACTTTCACAATTGGCTCAAGATGTATTGGCTATTCCTATGTCGAGTGTGGCATCGGAATGTGCATTTAGCACCAGAGGTCATATTCTAGATTCCATTAGAAGTTCATTGACTCCCAAATGTGTGCAATGTCTTATTTGTGTCCAAGATTGGCTTAGACAAGAAACCAAGCCTATTTGTGTTGAAGAAAGTTTGGAGTTTCTTGAAAAAAATGAACTTGGTAAGACTTTTTATTATTTTTTTTGGAAAAAATAAAATACTTATTGTGTTGTATATTGTATGACATGTTTATTTTTCTTATTTATAGAGATAGCAAATAGTGGAAGAAACTCTTCCATTGTTGATCTATGATTGACTTGCAAGCGGTGAGTTTAATGCATCATTTATTTAATCATATCATTTTTTAATCTTAAAATTAGTATTCTAAGTTTCTAATATTTGATTTTATCTTGAAAGGTCCAAGGGTCAAGACAATGAAGATATAATTTTGTTGGCACGTGAAACTTGAAAGTTGAAAGCGATCTCATGGAAGAAAGTCAAGAAACTCATTACTGTTGTTTGTTATTGTTGATATTTGAATTGAAAGTAATCTCATCGAAGAAGACAAGAAATTTAAAATACATTGTTTGTTGCTTATTATTGTCTATTATGAGCTCATGAAAGACTTTATTGTTACTTGTTAGATTGTTATTATGTTGTATTTGTGAAGACATTAACTACAAATCTACAATGCAACTTTTGTTTTAGTGACATTGTTAATTAAAAATTGTGCGTTTTAGTGATATTGTGAATTTAAAAATTGTGTTGTTAATGCCTAATGACATATTGACATATTGATATTTGGTAGTAAATTAGTAATTCACTTCTTTGATGTATTGTCTATTTTTATTTTTTAGCCCATTAAGTTGAAAAATCAAACAAAAAAATTGTAAAGTTTACAATTTTAAAAAGCCCATTAAGCAGACCCATTAAAAACCAACATAAAAAAACCGAATCGAATTAACAAAAATCAAAATCGAAATATTTTAATTCGATATTCGGTACACAATTTACAAGAATCGAAAATAAAAAAACCCAAAATCAAACCGAAATACCGAATGCCCACCCCTAGTTTTTCAGATTTGTCAAGTCAAGAGAGGAGACTTCTTAATTTCACAGAGGCTCACAATATTAATTCTCTTTGAATACATGAGGACTAAATCACAAATTCACCAATTAGAAAAAGAGAAAGAGTTACTTCTCATGAAACATACAATAATAGAAGATTAAAGACATGCTCAAGCATCATCGAAGGATACATATTACATAGTCGCAGAAACATTCCCACCAAAATTAGTTCTTCTCTTTAGTTTAAAAGGGTGAATTCACTAGATTTAGACACATATTTTAGTTATAAACAACAAATAACAAAAAATATGTGTTTTACATTAGCAAATAGTTTTGATTACATATATGAGCAGGGAAATCAAGTAGAAAATGAATTTTAATAATGAAACAAAGCAATATAAGATAACACATTCAAACTAATGATGTTTGACATATTTTACTATCTCATTGTTTGATATGCACAACTAGATGAAGTTTCAATTCCTATACTATACTTGACAATGCCATGAGTACATGTATATCAGGAAGAAGGAAGCTTGCAAATTATTGACCTTACAGTTCATTTAGAAGAAAAAGCACAAGTATAAAGCGCAGAAGAAGCAAGGGACACTCTCCAGTTGCACAATTACACCACTATGGAACCAATATTGAAAATCACAAGTCCAACACTTTAATTTTTGCTATACTTGTGCTAACAGTTGTTTATGCTACACTTGTGCTAGCATCTTAATACACATGTCATGCAATCTTTTCCCAGTTCCACATCACCAAACTGCACAGTGGCTACTAAAAATATCAAACATATTAAATGTTGAGATAAAACTATACATAGGCATGATAGCAATGATACCTTGATTGTAGTCTCCATTTTAGTAAGAAAAATCGGCAGCACATTCAAACCTAGCTAGCGTTGAAGTGAAGAAGAAGAAGAAAAATAATAAATGCAAAACTTTGATTGTTTTTGCTAGAAGATGGACAATTTAACGATTGTATAGCTTGTTGTGGTGACTTAGCACCTAATGATGCCAATGTGGCCACATTCAATTAAAGTCATGGGTACATATGATTAAGTCGTCCAAGAATATCATTTGTAACTTCTTGGTGTGTGGTTACTTTTTGTTGTTCTAATTTTTCCTCCATCCTTTGATGCATCTCCTCTTTCAATTCCTCCATTTTTTCCATCCTCTCATCATTGGAAGTTAAACAAGGTTCAAAAAGCATTGTTTTTTTCAAAGTACTTTTGGTGACTCCTCGTCCATACAATCTCAGGATCCCTGGGTGTTCATTTCCCATGACTGCTGTAAAAGCATCAAATGATTGATTGTCATGTTCACTCTGTCAACTTAGCAGTTTCTCCATTTCAGTTTGCAAATGAAATCAAAGAAATAAAATCAAGTATTTAAGAACAAATAATGTATCTTAACAACCCAATAAAAGTCATACAATTTTATTAATTATATCTTCGACCATATTTTATTGATCTTGTAGCCACAAACAGCTCACCGAGACTTTTCTTTTATTTTTCCTAATTACTAAAAGTTGGTATTAAAGATATTTTATGGCAACAAGTTCATATTTAATGATTAACAAAAAAACATACCAAATTATAGCGTATCACAACAAAACTTATTATATAAAAAATATATGGATTCATTCATTTTTTGATTTTTGGTATTTCTTTCACTCATTTCCTGTAAATAAAGGAGTCTTTAAATTCTACGTAAATTAAAAAATTAATCAAAAACAGAAAAATTAACCACTCAGAACATAAAATATAAATCTAAACTTGAATTTTTTAAAGGCCCAATATTTGAGAAGATCTTTAAAATCAGATTCTGAAACATCTTTGGGCTTATTTGTCATTCCAAGATCATCATTATCATATGCTTTATAATGTTTCTGATACAAGTCATTCTTATACTTTCTCCAAGCATTCTTAATTCCATCCAAAGCCCATTGTCTTGAATTATCAGTAATATCGTATTTCTCCTACAATTTGTTCTTTATATTAGTTAAATGTATGAAAAGTTTATAATTGAAATTGGAAATGCAGGAACTCAAACCTAGGTATAATCCCACAAATCACATTTTGTGTCCATATTCTTTTGATTATGAATATTTAGAGGACAAATCATCACATTCCTTGCCAAGGTTCTAAGAAAACTCCCCAACTCTGCTATAACAACATTAGTAGGACCAATGGGTTGATTGTACCCATTCAACACGACCACTTATGCTCTTTTCGCCCATGTACACTTTACATTACTGTACTACCTCTTTTCTTTTTTTTGAGTCACAGGACCTACAATAATACGAAGCAAAGTTAAACCAAATATCAACAAGCTTAACTGATTTTACAATTTCAATATATTTAAATATTTAGAAGTGAATTTATATGTTTTTACCTTGTTCTCTTGATAGGTCATTTTCTTCTGAATTATGTGTCTCTTGTTCCACTTGGTCATGTATATCGTGTGCCTCTACAGTAGGAGATTCTCTTGGTACATGTTGCAATTGTTTCTTTGAAACTTGTGCTACTATAGTGGAAGAATTAATAGGTGCTTGTGACACTTGTTCGTGCACAACTTGTGCTTTTAAAGTGGAAAATTCATGGCACATGTTTTTGTGCATAGATCTTGTTTTTAGACTGAAACAACTATGAGGCATTTCATTCTTTTTAGACTGTGCTTTTAAATTGCGAGAATTCTGAGGCACTTGTGGCAATTCTTCTTGTAATTTTTGTCCTACAAGAGTAGAGAAATTTCAGGGCAGTATAGATTGAACATTCCCTTTTGATCTTAATGAAGAAATCCTTTTGTAAGCCATAGATGTAAGTGTTTCAGCTTTCACATATTGTTTTCCTTTTCCTTTTATGTTTTGTTTTGAAGTCTCCTCCTTCCTCATGACTATCAAATCTGTCAAAATGATATATATGAATAAGAATCAGTTCTTGTTAAGCACAATATAAGGTACTTTACATGTGCATTAGATACAATAACAAGTCTAAGATTTTATACAACACAAAATGCACATGTACAATAACAAGCTTCAAATTTTAATCCAATCATGTATGAGTTTGTCATGATTTTTATCTTGGCTGGTTACCCTAACAAGGGAAAACCCTTATCATATTACCAACAACTTTAGGACTGCCATCAATTTTAAAAGTTATCCTAACTAAGATCAGTTTAAAGCAACTTATGGTCTGCCATCAATCTTTAAAGTTTTGTTACGTTTAAAACTTCGCACTAACAAAAAAGAAATTTATTCGGAAGATAGTTAAGAAACACAGACCTTCCTATAATCCTAGCCCGTCAGTAGTGTTATTGAGAGCCTCTTTTATGATTTACTAGCTAGCCTGTAAATAGAAGGAGAACACCTGTAAAATTGAAATAAATGAGAATGTAATTTTAAGAATAAAGAACAAAAGAAACATGTATTTCTAAGGAAAAGACATTTATAACTCACTCAAAATAAAATATACAATAATAAATATATATTTACAAGACATTCAAAAATTATTTATTTAATCATCCAGATCCATCCAATCTCAATCTGTATCATAAAAGTCATCTTCTTCTTTTTCTGATATTCCCATAGTTGTATCCTCTGAAAATTTAGCTTCAGATGACATATCAACATCAATAGGAATATCGTCTCTTGACTATCTCATGTCAACATGAGATAATCTATCCGAGTGACCAATGTCTTCACTTAGATCTCTAAAAAATGTATCTCCAATATTAGGAGAATTTTCTTCCTCCAAGTCATACAAATAACCTGGCACTTTACTCCTTGCATAATAAACATCCTTCTCAATTGGATCCGACACATAAAATACTTGATGCATTTGAGACACCAACACAAAAGGGTCATTCGTACTTTGTGATTGTTGAAGTACACACGAGTTAACCCATAATCATCTATTTCATTATGAAACCAATCACATCTAAATAGTACACCACTAAAATAATTGTAATAATCAAATTCAATGATATCTTGAATAGCACCATAATATATAACCTCTCCATCAATGGGATTCTAATCTCGAGTACTAGCAAAACTTCAATTGTCGCTGATAAAGTCACTCCACTATTTTGAGACTTCTGTGAATAATCACATTTTAACGTATGAAATCGATATCCATTAATGAAATATGCTGTATATCTTTTGGTTGCCACCCTATTAGGCTCTTTATCTAGCCATCTTAACTGATTAGGCACTTCAATATTTTTAACTTTCTCTTTGAACCATTTACCAAATTCATAACTATGACTTTTTTCTCTTGTCCATGCATTTGATCTTTTTAACTTTCTCTTTGAACCATTTACCAAATTCATGACTATGACTTTTTTCTCTTGTCCATGCATTTGATCTGATGTTACTATCAATTAACTTCTTATGCTCCCTGCAAGTATGAATATTTAAAGTTTGACTATTAGGCATTTATAATTGACTCCCTCCTTTTCAACATCATCATCATCCTCAGTATGGTACCTGCTAAATGGTGTTTTCACTCCATAATGTATGTATCTCAAATCAAAGATCAATAACTCTTCAACATCAAACCCCTATGCTATACAACCTTCTGGATAACATCAATTACGAAAAAGACCCTTCAACTTAGACATTTTTCTCTCACTGAAATACATCCACTGAAGATGAATTGAACCACCCAATCTAATTTCATCAACCAAATGGACATACAAATGTTCCATTATATAAAAAAAGATAGAGCAAAAATCTTTTCAAGCTCACATACAATTTCTTTGATTTCAATATGCATTGACTCAAGATTTGCTCGCCTTATAACTTTACTCTATATATCTTTAAAGATGTTTCCCAATTTTATCAAGGCTAATGAAACATTCTTCGACAATTCTTTTTGAACCGCAGTTTGGATCAAGTAGTGCATTATAAAATGATCACCATGAATTTTGTATCCTGATATTTTCATCTCATCCACATACGCACGATCTGATATGTTTTAGGCAAATCCTTTTGGTAATTTTTTATTTTTTAAAATAACTTAAAATAATCGTTTTTCTTCTGGTTTCATGGTAAAACAATATTTAACTAAATGAGCTTTTACACTTGTATTATCTTTCCTTGAATGAAGTTCCTTTCATATCCCATTTCTTCCAAGTCATAATGAGAATTAATGTGATCTTTTGACTTTCCTTGGATATCTAATAAAGTCCCAAGCAAACTATCATATATATTTTTCTCAATGTTCATCACATCAAGATTGTGCCTCAACTTATTATTTTTCCAATATGGTAATTTAAAAAAGATGAATCTTTTCTTCTATGGACCCTCATTTTTTTGACATCTTTTCTTGTTGGCCTTCCCAAAAACATTATTGAAATCATGTAACTTTTCAAACACTTTTATGTCCAAGAAGGATGTAGGTGCAGGTCTATGATCCTCCTCTATATTAAAAGATTTTTGTCTCTTTTAAATAGATGATCAGGAGGCAAAAAAGTTTGATGACCTAAGTAACACATTTTACGATTATGTTTGAGATATAAGAACATGTGTCATAGTTATACATGGGACATGCTAATTTTAGAACTCCATCTAAAAAGCATTGATTGTGATGGAAAATCACTAATTGTCCACATTAAAGTTCCATGCCTTTGAAATGTTTGATATTTGTATGAGCATCATATGTTTCTATCCCAAATTTTCGTAGTTCCTTCCATTCAACAATAAATAGTTGTAGGTATACATTTATATCCTGTCCAGGAGATGATGACCTTGGAAATATCATCGACAATATCATATACTTTGGCTTCATACAAATCCATGGTAATAAATTATAGTTCATCAACAATAGGCCAGGTACTATAGGAAATGCTCATGGTTCGAAATGGATTGAAACCATCACTTGAAAGGCCCAATCGAACATTACTGGATCATTTGAGAAGTTTGGATGCATAGAATAAAAATTCTTTAAATCTTATCCATCAACACGATGCCTTAAAATCCCATCATTATATCATTTAAAATCATGCCATCTCATTGCAACAACTATTTCAGAACACATAAACATTTTCTGAAGCCTAGTCTTTAAAATAAAAGTACCTTAAAATATTTACTGGTATTTTAGAGCTTGCATTAGTCGTGTCATCACCCTTACTTGACCATCTATAAGATCCACTAACAGAGCAATTATCTTTCTCCGCATTCTCATTCCAAAATAACATGCAATCGTTAAGGCATGCATATATTTTGTCATAGCCGAGACCCAAATCTTTTATCAGTTTTTTTTAGCTTTATTGAAAGACTTAGACAGTTGAGAAAAGGGAAATGCTTCTTTTAACAAGTCTAACAGATCAGTAAAAGCCACATCACTCAACCAATGTAGCGATTTAAGCAAGTAAAACCGAATTATGAAACTCAGCTTACTGAAGTTCTCACACCCCGAATACAACTCTTTTTTACATCATCTAGTAATTTAAAAAATCTCTGTGTATCTTCGAATAGCCCTTTTTCTCTCCTTTTCCATGACTTGTTTCGCCTTGAAGATTCAATTATTTTAAAAAAATCTCTACAGATTTTCTTTTTGACAAAAAATCAAGGCAAAACATTCCTTAAAAGTGATAAAACAGAATTTTAACGCAACTAATGTTGATCTATAATTTTAAGATGTTTCAGATTTTAATGGCAAAAAGTCTAACACCAACCAATGGTGAGTTTCAATTTTTTCCATTTTCATGCTAATGTATCATTTGTTTCCTGTTGCTCTATGTAACTCTTTAACAATAATGAAATCGAAATTTCTCACATTCTAACTACTCAAGCGAGAGGTGAAATGAAAGAAGACATTATCAATGCAAGGGTAATCAAAACCGATTGAATGACTCACAGAACAACAAACCCAACATCAATATCAAGAGAAATATGGTTTATAGTAATCAGGTTCACCATAACTATCAATAAAACTTTAGACCCACAAGAGCTAAAACTTAATGGTAAAACCCCACAATCAGAAAAAAAAATACATCAAATACACTAACTACACTCAACGATTAAAGAAAAAAGAAGAGATTCAAGAAGAAAACCTCAACAGCTCAAACTTGAAGTTTCTTCAGCTATAACCTCAAAGATGCCAGAACAAAATCTTCAATTGTTGAATAAAAAAACATCAAGATTTCACAAGCAAACCTTCAGCCCTCCATTTCCTTCGATATTACAACAATTTCTGAAGAGAAGAATAGCAAAACTCAGTGCATGTCTCTATAATTATCCAATTTTGATAGTTGAATCAAATACCCATGAAACAACATATGTATATAGAAAAAAGAAAGATACACACAAAGAAGTCTTTTTTGAGAACTATTACTAATATGACTCTATTAAATCACTAATTAATTACTCAAATCCACATTAAACACAACAGAAACACCACCAATTTGCTAAATTTGCAATATTCATTATGAAGAATTCATTTATATTCCATGATGTCAAGTAGAAAGAGAAGCTTCAGTTATGAAGGAGGCTTATATATTTTCATAGATTGAATGACTGTTCAGAAAAGTTCAACTTGAAATCCAATAAATTAAAGGCCCAAAGTTCAACTTGAAATCCAATAAGTAAAGGCCCAAATTCCTCATGGTAATAGAGCAAACCTAAACATAGTTATACTAGAATTGTCTGTTAATACTGAATGTTAAATGGTAGCAAGAATCAACTACACTATGTCAAAACTATTCTTTTCAAATCTGTAGAAACGAAATCATGAATCATCTAAAATCAGCAAAACATGGGTCTTGTCAAGAATATACACAAAATCAACTAATAATATATTTATTCATCATCGGATACATGCTATGAACTATAAAATGCACCTTGACTGTGATACATAAAGTCCTATTGAATTTCTTTCTTTCATTCTCATCCAAAAGAATTGATTTTGGGTAGTTATCAAAGGTTAGAGCATTAAGCTCTAACATAACTGTAATAAACTTCATATTCTTACTACACTAGATAAAAAATAATGGACAAAAATAACAAGGTGGTTGACCAAGTACGAACAGTAAATATAATGATCCATCCACATACAACTTTTGCATAGTATATAACAATGTCAGGCGACAAAATATTCTGCACAGAAATCCAAGAACAAAGGGGATGTTGTGCAATAGTTATCATTCATCCAAACCTTGTAACTTTGGCTCATGAATGTATGTTAACAAAATTCACTACACCAGTACAAATAGTTGACTTTGGATACGGTAAATCATATGTATTACAGTAAGAACCTATAATATTCAAATTATGGATCCATTTTTGACAACTAAATGGCCAAAAAGTAAACCGTTATCCAAAACCTAGTTATAACACACACATAGGCATGCAAAGACTTTTGAATCAATATTGTCATATGCAAAAACTAATGGATCAATATTTTCATATGCAAATATAGTTGAAGGAAAAAATGATTTAAGTTTGCCTAAAAGTACAGACAAGAAAGACTTACCATAATATTCAAATCCATGCACATCTCGAACTAGTAGCTCATTTTAGTACCAATCAGTAGCAAATTTTAGATTATTCCATTTTCATGTTAATTTCTCTCTTTTTCCTGTTGCTCTAACTTAAATCTTCAACATTGATGAAAGTAAATTTTTGATATCGTACTCAAGTGAGAGGGTAAAATCAATGATGAGGTCATCACTACAAGGGTATTCAAACCCGATTGAATAATTCATGGACAAGAAATACAACATCAATGTCAAGTTAAAAAGGTCTATCGCAGTTAATTTCACCATAAATCCAACAAAACATTAAACCCACAATAGCTACAACTTAATGAAAAAGAACCCACAAACAGAAAAATACATCAAATACACTAACCACACCCAAATATTTAAGACAAAAGAAGAGATTCAAGAATAAAACCTCAAATGTTCAAACTTGTAGTTTCTTCAGCTATAACCTGAAAGATTGAAGAAGAGAACCGCCACCAGTTGAAGAAGAAAACCTCCATTTCCTTATATTCAAACAAACATACAACCCTCCATTTCATTAGGTTTCACAAGAGGTTTGAAGAGAGAAACATGTCCAGATTTAAGAAAATATGGGTTTATGTTTGCCCTAAAATCACAGACATGAAGAACTTATCATAAGATTAATATCTCTGCCAAACTCCACAACTTCAATCTTTCATCGTTCTGCTTATGCTATACTCACAAATGGATGAAAAATTAGGTCAAAGAGAATAAGAGTGGAAATGAGCTTGAAAAATGTTTCTATGTTGTGCTTGTGGAAGAGAGGGAAAATGAGCAAATGTTTAGCTCGTTTCCATCGATAAAGAGAAAAGTAATTTGTCTTTACAAAATTAATTAAAAAAATAAGATAGAATGAAAAGTTTTGGCGGGGTCAGCGAAAATAATAGAGGAAGATTATGGAGGGATTTAATATATAACTGTTTCGACAGAATAATAGTCGCAGTAAATGTTTTTATAGATTATTTTATGGCAATTTCCCTACCATAGGAAAATTTAGCTAACTAGTCAAAAAAATCAACCTATTTAGTGATAATGTCCATACTTTAATAATATTAGTAAACATGTCAAAAATGTCATTATTTTAAAAATAAATAATTATTATTATATTATTAATATTTTCTCACTCTTTATTTACATCATTTTTCTCTCTCTCATAAATTATATATATTCCTATATTTAAGTAATTAGATATATACTAATTATATTTTTAAATTTCTCTCTCTTATATTAAGATTATTATTAATTTCTATCTATATATCTATTACTAATCAATTCCACAACTTCCAAGATTTATTTTCACTTTTATTAATAAAACTTTTCACTATCTTTATAACATTTTTTCAAAATTAATTATGCATTGATTCCCGAATTTTTCTTTTATATTTATTAATATTAAACTTATCATATCACTAGATTTTAGTTGGGATTGTCACGTTATCTCTCTTACACTGTCTTTCTGGAATTTTAATTGTATTGTCACGTTATCTCTAACCCTATTTAATAGATAATTTCACAACTTCCAATGCATTATTTTCACTTTTATTAATAAAATATTTTCTCTCTCAAAAAAAACTTTTCCAAAACTAATTCTTCATAGAATATCTTCGTTAATTTTCAACTCTTAATCTTCCATGATTTTCGTTTGAATTGCAGGTTATCTCTCAAACATTCTTCAATAGACACAACATCATCAAAATCAACTTATTCATATATCATCAAATCTCCAGATTTACGCTTCAATTTCTTCAAACCCGAATTTTTCTATTTTACATCATTCTCAAGTAATTCCGTTTGAAGGTTTGATTTGGAGATTCACATTGAGTTGGTTATTATGTTCTTCATATTACTTTTTGATTACTTATTTTAATTTTTTTGTTTTGTTGTTGTTCTTAAATTATTTTATAGGGTTTCATAATAACAAATTCTTTCTTCAATGGATGCATTCAAGAGAGCTACTAGAGGCATTGTAAAAAAAAAACACAGTTCTTTCGAGTTATCATAGTTTAATTTTTTTCACTCAAGAAATAAACAACAATGTAGGTTCAACTTCTAAGTCTAAGGAGGTTATACGAGGTGGAAAAATGGCTGAACCTGTCGAGGTGCGAAATTCCACAGAAATTCATGAAGTTGAATAAGAACAATTTTTTGGAGAAGAGGTAATTATTTTTTTGCATGTGTTGTGTATTGCATGTTTAGTTTAATTTGTTTAGTATTTTTTAAGATTGAAAAAAATACATGTTACAATGAATTTGGAAGTGTATTTGGAATGTGTAGTCTGTTATAGTCTCTATGTATTTTTGTATTGGAAAATTTTTTGACTGTCATTTATGTATTGTATTTTGTATTCTGTTCCTCTTTTTTGTATTAGTTGTCAATGTAGTATAGCTTACAAGTTTGATTGTCTATTTACTATTATCGTATACATTTGTAAGTGTATTCGGAATTTTCATCTTGTTATAGTTATTATTATTTTTCCATAGTTCTAATGTTTTTGATATTCACTATTATAGTTAGCATGTATTTCTGTATTTAATATGTTTATTGTATTTTTTTTGTCAATGTAACAAATTTTATAAGTTTGATTGTGTATTTACTATTATATTTTTTTTTGTCAATGTAACACATTTTATAATTTTGATTGTGTATTTACTATTGTTGATAGATTTGTAAGTGCATATTGAATTTTTATTATGTTGTTGATATTATTTATTTTTGTGTTTTATAGTTTTAATATTTTTTGTATTCATATATTTGGAAGTGTATATTGAGTTCTCTTGATGTTTTAGTCAAGTATGTGTTTTGTAGTTCATAGTTTTATTGAATTTTTGGTATACATAGAATGGGAATTGTATATTGTATTCTGTATTACATCAGTATATATCCATAAATTCATTTTGTATTTTTTTTGTGTTAGTTATGTCAATGTACCACATATTTGTAACAATATGTGTTTTTTTTGTATGTTATTGTAACTGTGTTGATTTTTTATTTATTATCATGTTTTTTTGTTCTGTTATTTTAGTATTATTTCATTTTTTGGAATTCAATACGCAAGGGGAATTCTTATGCTTGCAAAAAGCTACCAAAAAATGCACCCCACATTCACTGTATAGTAAATCATGACATTAAATCCAAGTTGACTGACAAGCTTACACCGGAGCATTATAATTATTTTTGTGAGAGTACGTGTTTTGGTCAGTATATGAAAATCAAAAAATGTGTTGGGCAAGGTCAAATTCACAGGTGTTGTATGTCACTAAAAGTAGAAGCTAGTAGTAATCAGGCTCTTGTAATCAAAGTAAATGGAGTTATTTTAAAGTTCACAATTAGGACGTTTGCGCTTATTACTGGATTAAACTGTGTTGGTGTTGTAGAGGATTTCAAGTTTAACACAGAAGAACCTAACTGACTTATTGTTCAGTACTTTGGTGGTAATGAGATCATACGTAGATCTGATTTGTTCGATAGGTTCAATGGTAATGTTTGGGTTGACAATGATGATGATGCGATTAAGTTTGCAATATTATATTTCATTCATATGTTTGTGTATTCTGGCGAGAAGAGATCATTTCGGATTCCTAGAATCCATTTTGATTTGGTTGAAAGTGATCGGTATATGCATTATCCTTGGGGCAGAAAAACATTTGAGTGGTTACTACAGAGTATCAACAAGGTTTTGACTACTGATGGTCAATATTATAGAATATGTGTATGCCTGTTGTCTTTCAAATATGGATATACAAGTGCATGGGTAAGCGTCAGACGAATCTTGCACGGAAAATTAGTGATCGTATCCCCCGTATTCTAAACTGGCAAACAGTAGGAGCAAAACCCCGATTAAAAACCTTGATGAAAGACACATCCAATGATGGTAATAGAGAGGTATTGTATATAGTCCATGAAATTGTACCCTTGTAATTGTATCAATTCGATGTATATCTTTTATTATGTTAATTATTCTATTTACTATCGTTTTTAGATTAAATGGAAGAATGTTGTCCCATCTCTGATGGAAATTGCTATTCTACAATTGCCTCTTGAAGGTGTTGAAAAATCAACTGAAGGTGTTCAAACAGAGCCACATCGTGATATTGATGAACAAGCACTTTTTGGACAGAATTCAGATGATGATTTTGTCAACCCACCTCCACGTTCAATGAAGGTTACAGGTAAAAGAAAAAAGGGGCAATCAGTAACACTTGCTAAAATAGTACGAAAAAAGGACTCAAATATCACAGATCAAATGGAGCGGAATGAACATATTGATCCAGTAGCGAACCAGACCGGGAAAAAGCTGCAATTAGAAAAGTTGTGCGGAAGAAAAAAATGGTGTTCTAAGAAGAAAACCACTCGCACTTGTGTGCCAACAAAGGATTTCCAAATACCATCTGTAAGTGTGTCTCATGAACAATTAATGATGAATGAACTCTCTAAGTTACGAAAGTAGGTATATACTGTTTATACTTATGTTTTTTTAATATATTTATTCAAATTATTGCAATCTGTAAAATTTAATCATATTGTAACTGTTTCAGGTTAGAGAAGAGTTTAAAGACATACGGAAGTTGATGAATGATAATTTTAATATCATTATGTATACTTTGAAGGTTAAACAATATGCTAAATTGTTATGTTTAAAATTTTTTTATTCTTTTTATTTTTTTGAATTCTATGTTGTAATTTAATATTTACAGGACAAAAAAAACAATGAAAATGTTGGTCAAAGATCACAACCTTTTACAAGTCCAATTTTATCAGAAAATCAAAATCAGGTAGACACAACTCATTTTTGAAACTAATAGTTTATTCTGTTTGTATTCTGTATACTGTAATATATTTATGTCTTATATTAATTTTTTCCCCTATATTTGTAAGTACTTTATTTCTTTATCCATATTGATTAAATATATATTGATTGTTTTTATATAAAATATATTTTCAGAACAACATAAACAATCACAATGCTACTCAAGGACGACAACATTTTACAAGTCCAGTTGTATCAGAAAATCAAAATAGGTAGAGACATCTTATTTTTAAAATAAAGATTAGTATTTTTGTATTTTGTTTTTCTTACTACGTTCATGTTTAATATTAATTTGTATTTTACATGTCGTTAATATTGTATTTCAATATAAATATTTTTTTATATATATGTTGACTACTTTTGTATCTACATGGATTGAATGGTCTTTTTGATGATGAGAAGTCGGAGTGTGATGAAAGCTCAAATGATGGAAGCGAGGAAGTTTTTCAAATATGTTTATGATAAATTTTGTATTTTTATATGGTTTAACGATATTTTTTTTATTCAATCTCCTTTTTTTAAAGGATCATTCAATTTTTGAAAATTCAAATCTGGGAGACATACCTGATATTGTTGTGGGTGTTGATAAACAAGTATGTTGGTTAACTCTACATATTTATACAGTGCAGTTGAGAATATTGTTTATAATTAACATTTTTATATTTTTAAAGGTTGATTGTGACAATTCCCCTTTGCGTAATCTGATCAATGTAGATGCTGGTTTTAGTTCGTCTAAATCAATAATTCCAAGTGTATATTTTTCTACTTATCTAAACTAATTACTTTTGTTCTTATTAGTATAATTTGTATTTGAATAATTTTTTATTAACTACAGATACCTCAACCATCATTTGTATTTGACAAATCCCAAAAAATAAGGCCACTTGTTTTTGAAAGACAACATGACTTTACATATCAAGATGACAATGATGAAGAGGATCAGTTCATATTTCCTACCCCTATTCAATCTATTGTTCCCATAGAAGGCTCACCACAATCACAGTTTGAGTTGGATGATTCTCTAATGCCAAGTCTAGTGACATAAAAAGTATTTATGTTACTGACAATACCATTAATGCAGAACATAGCATTATCATGCACATTCAAACCACAAGCAATGACAACTCAAATATTCAAAAACAGGCTAGCAAGGAGAGTCAGAACAAAAAAAGTCATGTTCACACACCATTACCTGCACATTGGATTAGACGTCCAGGACCTTTCAATACATCCCCATATATGACATCGTTCGGCTCATCTGCAGGTATAAAGACATAACAAATTTTAATGTATTTTAAATTTGATTTATATATGTTTATTCTAATTTTTGTATACGGGTATGTTGTTTTTTAATTTAACATTTACATCAGGTACTTCATCGGTGCAACCAACTATTTTTGAACTGAAACACCCGTTCATCTTTGATCTTATTTCTGGCAATCGTGATATCATTATGTGGGATGCACATCGGTCATGGATTCGCGAAGGTCTTCTTGCAAAACATGAGAACAAGTAAGTATGTAATACGCATAATAATATAAAAAAAATTGTATGTTGTATTATGTATTCTACATTTTTTTAGTATATGATATGTTTTTTTTTGTATTCATGATTATTATTTTTTGAGGCTATTTTACATAATCTGTTATTACTCTGATTCATTTTTTAATAAATTCTAAACATGTTAGTGTATTTTCAATTAATCAACTTATTGAATGCTAATGAACGTTGTTTTATAAATTGATTGAAACAACTCTTATATTTTTCGTTAATCCTTTTAAAATTCTGTATTGTAATAACAATAAAAATCTTTATTTGTTGTTATGTATGTTACTCTAAATTATGGTGCATATTTTTACAAATACGTGAGATACCTATATAATTTCTATGTTTTTATGTATACCTTTTATATTTTGTGTACCTTTTAGTTTTTTTTGTATTTCATTAGACGTCATATAACTACTGTGTATTTATTGTATACCTTTTATTTTTTGTGTATGTCTTTAGACGTCATGATCAGGTTCGATACAAGAAGGGTAAAGCACGCATTTCTGTCCCACTTGACTTTGGTGTTGATATTGTAGACAATAAAAATTGGTTCTACAATTACTCAAAAGGACAATTGTTGAATGATTCGGCAAGTAACAACTGTAGTTATTTAGTTATTCTTCGTTGTTTTATTGTTATCTGATGATTATTTATTTTTTATTGTTCAGCATATCAATGTTATATTTTATTATTTGAGAAAGAAAGCAAAGTATGATGTGGACAGCAGGTATAAATACACAACTGTGGATTGTGTGTTTACGTCTAAAATTTCATCAATTTGGAAGAAGTTTGAAGATT